TCTCTCTCTCTCTCTCTCTCTCTCTCTCTCTCTCTCTCTCTCTCTCTCTCTCTCTCTCTCTCTCTCTCTCTCTCATAACGGATACCCAGGCAGGCCAGGGGGGATTCGGGGGGTTCGAAAGAACCGCCCCTTTTGTCAGGAAAAGGTCCATTTTGGGTAAAATTTAATCTAGGTACATGAAAGTTTCATTGTAAAAGGTCCACTTTTTCAGAAAAAGAACCCCCCTTTTGAATTTGCTGGCTACGGGCCTGCCAGGGTTGTCATTCAAGCCGTCCATGGGGCAGGCGAATGGTCAAATTTTCAAGAACGGGTCTAGTTTTATGCTATTACAATAATGCTTATTGCAATTGTTCACGCGTCAGAACAAGACACTGGTAATTTTTCCACATTGTAAGAATTTCAGTCGCGTCGATGAAATTACTCAATAAACATTGCAGTGCCCACGATATACCAGATTTGTCATTAATAATAATAATAATAATAATAATAATAATAATAAAGATTAATAATGTATGAGATAAAACAAATAATGGCCTACATAACAATACCAAATTTGTCACGAAAGAACAGCATACATTATGGGACGTTTCCTTGGCGTCTGTACATATCCCAGCATTACTGTTTAGTCAAGATAAAAACATTGATCAATTTGGTTCAGCCTGAGTTCTTTGTTAGGCCGTCATCAACATGGGCGTAGAAACAATGTTGCCAGTTTTGGTGGCATTGGTGACGGTGAGCAGTGCCGCGTTTCATTTTTCCATTCCAGACAGGTGTGGCGACGACGTTTCCCACTCACAAATTATGAAGCGTTCGTCCGTGAGAGCACAGTCATTCTGTGCTTTGGAATGTGCGCAAGAACCTTCCTGTTTTGGCTTTAACTGGCAAAGGGAGCCTGACAACGGCGTCCATTTGTGCGAGTTAGTGAATTCAACATCAGATGAATATGGGAAGTTCTTGATTGCCACTGAAGGGTTTTCATATGTAGAAAAGGTAAGTGCTTGAATTAATTGTATTTCAAAATATATCTGATGTCGTAAGTTTTAGATCAACGTTAAAAAACTGATTTTTATTTTATAATTAGACATTATGTTTGGAAATCAATTTCCATATTGGTTATAAATGTCTTAATCTTTCCTTTTTTATTGATAATTGCTTTTGAGTATTGTTTTGTTTTGTTTATCTTAAATTTGACTTTAGAAAAAGCAAATAGGAACAACGTCTCAATGATATATAACATCTTGTTGTCGAACTGCCTGTTTTAGATTATTAGTAGAATGGTAAACAAAACGCATGCTGCCGCTGGTTGCCAATTTTACTTTTCTCATCTGTGACATATTTATCGTTTTGTTTTTTCTAGTCCGAGTCGGGGTTTCAATCCAGTAGAACGACCTGTAGCAAAGGACGATGTATGAATTCACTACTTGAGCGTTTTCTTTTAACCTCTCTCTCTCTTTCTCTCTCTCTCTCTCTCTCTCTCTCTCTCTCTCATATAGGCACGTTTTCAATAGAACCACCGTTACTCTTAATGCCAGTTTTAATGTAAATCGTAACATCTTCATACCGCGTTGTCATTAATAGTCGATGCAATTGAAGAAAAAAACCGGGACACAATTAGAACAAATAACGCTCAAGAGATTGTATTGAACATAGCCCATCTTTGACATTTTCACAGAAGCCTCTTTGAATAATACCAGTTTGACAAATATAAAAATCCAATAAACCTTAAATGAAAGTTCACTAATAAATTCCTTCCTGCGAGATCCCGACCAAACATACATGTACATCACTTAAAAAGGGAGATAAATCCTGAAACATTTGAGAAGTGGCCATTGAAAAAGGGGAGTTGATGGAAATTGCGCTGATTACTTCAAACAACGGAGAGTGGTCTTTATTTACATAGAACGGGTCAGTGTCTAGATGAATGTATTGCAGGGGATACAATTAATCCATTATTTGTAGATTGTTCATACCCTCCCCCCACCACCACCAAGCATTTTTCTCAGCCTATACTTATCGATGCTTGTTGTCAGTGACAGATAACAATTCCAACACCAAATCCCACACGTATGAAGGGCCTTTTTTTGTTTGATTGCACTTTGCTCTTAGATGGAAAGATCATTGATCAGTCATATTGATCTTTGGACAGCTTTGACACACAGTTTTGGAAATATGAGTCTCAGCTTATTTTCAGGCTAAAAGGGGTGATGAATTTGATGTTGATTGCAGTGGTTCTTTGGTAAATGTTTTTAATGCTGAATCCACAGAAAAAACGTGGATCTGACTTTGATGTTTGCATAAGTTAGATTATGCCATTCGTTGGCGCATTTCCTTTTTGCTGAAATTGATTTTGGTTCTTTTTTCTTTATCCTGATTGCTTCACGAGAAATGTCAGCCTGACCAGAGCCGTTATCGCAAAATCGTTTTAAGAAAGACTTTTAATTTTTTTGTTCGATTGAATTACATATTACGTCATAGACCTTACTCTTATGGCCCTGTTTTGTTGTCTGATATATGTCATATATCCACGTTTTTTTATTATAATTTTTGCGAAAGAGTACTTTCATTGCGACCATTTCTTTGTTTCTGCCATCTTAATTCCTGTTGTTCATTTGAATATCCGTTCAAAGATCTGGAATTTTTAAAGTGTGCAATTTTACTTATAAGTGTGTAAAAACGATCTGTCTTCTTTTCAGTTTTATATGCAGACATTGACAACACCGATGTTTTTTTATTTCAGACTGTACATGCCCAAACGAGTATACAAGATGGGGTTGCTCTTGTTATAAATTCAATGCCACACAGATAATTTTCGACGCTGCTCGAGCACATTGCCATTCGGACTCACCACTATCTGATATAGTTTCCATCGACAGCGCTGAAGAAACATTGTTCTTACAGCAACTTGTGCAATCATCCGGTAAGTCTAATACTTAAGGTGGCACATTATTTTTTTTTCGGCATTTAACAAAGTGACACTATTAGGGTGCATTCCCAGAGATTTAGATCGATCCAGAGATTTAGATTTAAATCGACCTAACTCCCTGGGGGTTCAGGCTAAATTGCAGTCATCCGAGAGCACACCATAGTTAATTACCCCCTTACAGCTTTCAGTAGGCCGGACAGACGCTAAACTGACAGTAATCTAGTGAGAATCCCTACAGGGATAGATCGATCTAAAATCTATGGGAATGGGGTCTTATAAATTTCGTCTTTGAGCGCATTCAGAACAGCAGACAAACAGATCCGCGGATCTGCTTACACACGGCTCAGTTAATGTGGGGATCCGTATTGGATAATGCACCTAACATTTATTGACAACGTCGACTGTAATTCTGTTTCTATAGATACTTAAGTTATGGGGGGAAAACGCACAACAAATAGTATTGCATGGTACATGGACCATTTATGCCTATTCAAAAAGGTTATAGTGAAAAGATATTAAACGAAATGAAAAATGTGAAAAGATAAATAAAGCGATAATGATACGTCATTTTAATAAATACCATTTTCATTTTAGGTGGTAGGGTCGATCAATTCGTTTGGCACGATGCCTATAACTACAATGGCGACAACCAGATTTACGTCCACTCCAGTAAAAGGAACGCGACACTAAGTTACACCAACTGGGCACTCGGTGAACCAAACCTCGTCTCTGAGCTTTGCGTTGGCTTCAAACCTGACAGCGGTCAGTGGTGCGACGTCCCTTGCAGTTGGGATGTAGTGCAAACCATTTGTGAAATCGACCAAAGCGGCCTTGGCTGCAGATGCCCAGAAATTTAAAGTGCTGTTACCATGGCAACCGAGCGTGATGCAAAACAAACCAATATCCATTATGTTGGTTTGCGGCTGTAATGAACAAATACACCGATTTTCATCAAAATCTGAGAGGGTCATGTGCCACCCTATTCTAAACCTTATAGAGACTGGCACTTAAAGCAACTGATTGCAATAATAAGGAAAACTCTTTTGTTTTGATTAAATACTTGCGTACTATTTTAAAAACTTATTCGAAAAAACTATATCAAAGATTGAAACTTTTGAAGACAATTTTGGTTATTCTACGTTTGTTTTGATCAAAAGGAGTATTGAAATTAAAGAATTTTTTCACACTGTTTAATTCTATTACGCATTGTATTGAATCAGCTATGAAATGTTCTCCTGTTTTGCTTACGCCATATATCAATAACAGTGTTTATAGCTTTTATGCATGATTTTGAATCAAGTATGAAACGACCACAAAGAGTTATGAAATGTTCATCCTATTTTGCTAACGTCATACATGTAAATCTATGCCTGCTATAATGTATTTATGTAATTTAGTGGACTTAGATTTTAAATCTTTTTGTCCCTGTTTGCATACGCCATACTTGTGATAACTGTTATAATATATATATTTTTTATTTTAAAAAATGTCCGTCCCAATTTTTATACGCTATTTATATGAGCGCTTGTGTTTTAGATTGTAAGGCCAGATAAAATTGATTCACGAGCAGCGACTCTCTTGACGAAGTGGGCAAATGACAACTATTTATGTTTTTTTTAATATATGAAGTTGAACGGACTGCTGAGCAGTTAAATTTCAAGGTCGGTCGGTGTTTTTCATTTTAATTTAAGAGGTGGTAATGTCAAATCCACAGTGCTGGTGATTTTAAAGCTTAAATACAACTGTATTTAAGTTTTTCCTTGGTTTGTTTGTACATTTAACCCACTTCCCAAAGTAATACTCAATGTACTTTTCTCCATTTAGAAAAAAAAATAGGTACGAAAAAAATCTGGTTTTCTCAAAATACAGGTCGGTCGCGCTAGTTATCAGTTTTATCAGTTTTGTGACCTGGCCCCGGTTTCACAAAAAAAATTAAGTCAGGTTCCCTGGCTAAGAACTTTTAAGTTAAATTAAAATTACCAAGGTTACATGGTCACATGGGCACATCTTACCCTATCAGGAGCAGTGTAACAGCACTCTCTTGGAAATCCTAGTCAGCTAAGCCAGGGAAATGACTTGAGTATTTTTTTTTTTTTTTTTTTTTTTTTTTTTTTTGAAACTGGGGCCTTTTTGCGTGTTCAAAAAGACTTTTTAAACC